GCCTGGCGAGTTGGTCAGTTTGCAGAATGCCTAGGCAATTTTCACATTGCCGGTAACATATGCACTACTAAAAAAGCTATTTAAAATTAGAATTTGAGATCACGTTGTCTGTTAAGAATACGTTGCATGCTTATAAGTAAATTGGATGGTTTGTCAAAGTGAAAAATATTTTGGACGTAACTAAATAAAACTAAGGCTCTTTGGTTTTCATTAGGTGTTCTATTCAGTGCCTGTTAACTACTTTTAGATAACAAACTTGATAGTCAAGCATACGAAAAATTAAATAATTGTTCAAAAGACAAATAATGTAAAAATCGTACTTTACAGAGAAATAAAAACATGGGCTCTAAGATGTTAAACCTTTTTTGCTAGTACATATTTTCTTTTTTCAAGTTTCGGCGAAAATCTTGATAAACATGTGTTACTTAAAAGTAGTTCACATTTTTTTAATTATGGTGATTCAGACATGGCCCCATTCTTCTTGAGCCATTAGAGATGAGATTTTAGTAACCCAGAAAAAAAATTTCATAGACTCTTAAGACATGTATTTAATTTAATGTGTATTATGTTTTTGCGTGGAAACTTACATTGCCATTTATACACGTACCCATGTCAGACTTTGAACACTATAATCACACCAACCAAATGAGGAAAACCCTCAACTTGTTTAATTGAAATTACACCGAAGACGTAAATGTTGCTGTCATAATGCAAGACCTAAGACCTACCTTGTCCTCAAGAAAGATATTTATATTTTGTTTGGGAATGTCGGTTTTGTATGTTTATACCAAATCCAGGCATTAGATTTGGACACATTTATCAAAAATGTGAATATTCACCACCACCACTTTTTTTGAGTAAATTAAAATAAGACTTGACACAAATTCGTTTAAGAAATCGGTTTCCCCTTAAACATGGATTTACTTATTTTCTTCAGCTTTGCGGTACCCATTTTCTCGTAGGCCACCACGAATACATTTTTGTTAAATAAGTTCAATTCTAAATGCCCATCATTGCTGCCTTTAACTGACGCAGGAAATTAATTACTGCTCGCAGATAAATATGGACTGACTCACTCTATCTACTCACACTGATCTACTCAGCAATTCCAGCACAAAATCGTTCAGACTATAATCAACGAAAAACATTTTTACTTTTTCGAATGACACATTTTTCTTTTGTTCAAATTCACTTGATCAAAGAATAAAATATCAGTGTTCCTGCACTATTTATTGCTGGAAAATTCTTAGACTTTCTAAAGTCTGAATGCCAAGCTAGTGGGTTGAATGGTTTTCCATGTTTGGTGCTATCAGTGCTTGTTTCTATTAAATTGAACTCGGGCTAAATATGCTTGTGGGTACTGCCTTCCGCATGATTTAGTGTTTCATTAGCTTTTACTTCTTCCAAATAATAAATTTGCATGCAGAATTAATGGACACTTTATGTATAGTTCTGCGGATCATTGTTCAAACAAATATATAAGACTGTAAACCACCGAACCCAATGTAAAAGTTATGTGTGAACGTGTGTGCAATGTGAAATATGCAGGAATGTATATTCTTAAAAATATTATAACTGTTTAAAAACTTTTTTACGACTCCACAAAAATGCATTTCGTATTTGTTAGATATTTGAAAAATGTAATGATTATAAAGAAAAGCCTATACAATTCATCTTAATTTAACACTTTGTAAGTAGTATACTTAGAAGGATTTCATATTCTAACTGTTCTACTTTAAGAGATATTTTGAGGGAAGGTACAAACGTATAAATGTTTGATTTACTACAGTCATAAAACCGAGATATAGAATATATCAATTATGATGCTTTTTATCAATTACATAGTTTAAATCAAAAAGAAATAGACTTTACATCATTGCACATTCGCATAAAAAACTTTTCAATACTCATTTTGAGAAGGAACACCGTTGCACGTTTATATCAAATTAGCAAAATATGATAAAAATAACCTTTCCTTTACCGAACGGTTGAATTTAATCTGCTTGAATACATCAAAATGATTTTAACAAGGTGTTTTCAGGCCTGCCTCTCCTGAAAAGCATCGTAATTTTAGGTTAATACGAAAAATCTTAAAAGATGTTTCAAAGCATTTATAAAAGCGACCCTTAAATGAGGGCTGAAAACTTGTTTAATGCTGTTTTTTAAATTTAATTTTCGAGATCTAAAAACGACATTTTACTTTCGCTTTAATAACAATTAATATATTTAGCTAATTAAATTTTATTTCACATATAGCTTACTGTATGCAGTGTATCAGACAATATTATTTCATTAACAGGATTTGTACAGAATGAAGAAGACGGAAGAAAGTTGATAATTTTCTTAGTAGTGTTTCTTGAGGAAATGTGCTTAGCTTGCTGTTAACGGGAAAATGACAAACTTCAAAAAGTGAAAAGTGGTCGAAAATTAGTTTTTTGAATGGGAGATAGATGACTACTAAAAAATGACCTTTATTATAACTTAGGGAGACAATCAATTTAAATTAAAATGATCTTGTCACTGGTGCATTTTACCGAAAATGTATGCTGCACTATGCAAATTTTTAGTACTTTGCGATTTTCGCAATTTATCTTTAGCAACTAAAGACAAGTGTTTGAATAACAACTTGCTTGGTGCTTTTGACTATTTCTACTACAATCCGTTTTAAACCATTCAAAAAAACATTAAACTACTAACTACTATTTTATATCGTT